AAAATAAAGTTATGGAATTCGATAAAAGTTTTGCTAGGGAAAATGTATTAGAGGCTTTGCAAGAGCTATTACCCCAGGATGAGATGGTTTCGAAAAGCCAGACAGATACTCTACCCAATCAATCTGTTCATAGTCAACCAGCACATTCTAAAAAGTATATTTCGAGTGAAGGGGTTGCAGAGTAATTAGGTGGCACAGAAACAGTATCTTTACCAGCAACTACTCCTATTATTACGAGCTTCTTAATGTCACCGATATTAATATATATTATACTTACCTTATTACTTCTCGCAATTATATGGTTCATGATCGGGAGAAGGATATAAAATTCGTGGAAAAAAAGTAATACCAAGTATTCTCCTAACTGGAACTATTTTTTATCGTCTCTGTGTATTTCCAAGGTTGGTCTATATGATCAGAGGCCAGAAGTTTGGAGTGATCGTCCTAGGCCGGAAGTTCAAAGATAGGAATTGAAGTTAGCTGGTATTATTGCACGAGAAAAAATATGTAAATAATATTATGTAAAGCGCCTTAACGGCTAAGTATTCTAGCGGAGGTGTAGCAATTTCAGCCAAAAGTACTTAACCATATAATTCGATGATCTCATCTATATCTGCTTCGGACGAATGATTGAAATACCTAGAAAGTTTATTGAAGGCTCTTGATATATTTTATAAGCCAGTTTTTTGCCTTTTTCTGGGAATATTCATCGATCTGCTTTTCTCTTATATCCGAATCTTTAATCTGCATTATTTTATCTGATGGAAGCGATTAAAAGCTATCATCTTCATTGATAAAGCGTGCGCACATTACAACCGTAGTGCCTAAATAATAATTGATATCTATTTCCATGTTTTGCTCTTTTGCGATGTCCGCATACTCCATAAAATCACCAACTCTATGTGGCTCCTTTCTACCTTTTTTGATATAGAGAGGCGGGCCTTTAACAACAACATAGCTAAAGCGTTCGCTGGGATCAGGAATCCTCTCATTCCTCTCTCTCATACGTCTCATAAAGCAATTATTGCAAAGATTTTTTTTCTTAGGCTTCCATGTTCCCATTACGATAAATTCATTGAAATCCCATTCCCTATTCTAGGCTTCTCTAAGAGTATTTTTAACAATTTCATTAATTAAGCGGGTATTATTTATATCTATAGCCTCCCTCATAATCTTCTCTCCAATGAATTTGAGAAGCTGGGATTTCCCTTGTTTTACAGTATCTATCCTTTTCATGAAAAGGGTTTTCGGCTTAAAGTTTACTACATCTTCATGCCTAACCCCAAAGTACTTCTTTTTACTGGCAAAGCAGACGGAAAATAATACCTCTTCGTATGCTATCTTTAGATAGGACGTCTCACTTTTTATCCTAAGATAAGCGTTTACTTGATCACGTAACTTTCTCATCACATCCATAGTAATTTTAACCATTTCAGTCCAGTGCGCTTCTTTAGAAAGATCTTTTCTGGAGAGGGCTTCATCGCATTTTTCATAATATTTATCTGGAAGGTGAGATACAAAGAATCAGTATCCCCATATTTTATCCCAAACCCTTTCTTTGATACGAATTTAGCAACAAGATTAAGGTTATATTTTCCCGCTGTAGTTATTCCACAGGCTAATTCACGAAGAAAGATTGGAGATTTTGAGTTGCCTGCTTCCCATAGAAAGTGTTCATATATACCTTTAAAGCTTTTTGCTTCGAATCCCAATAATCGTAATCGAAGCATACGGATGAGTATTCTAAATTTAAGCTTTCTGGAATCTTTTTGCCTCTTTCTTTAGCTGAACTTATAATCTTCCCAAGATGTTGCCTTTTCTTTCCTAGTGGGACTAGACGTGCTTTAAGTTCCAACCTCTTGTTAAATAAATCCTGCAATATGGTTGGATATAGGCCTTTCTTTTCCATTTGGTTATCATGGCGGACGCATCAAGCTTGAACAATATGATTATTAAACGAAAACTCAATCTTATGTAAGTCATTTCCATTATTTTGCGCAATACCAGCATCCTTTGGATTAAATATAAATTTTTCTGGGGAGAGGTTATATGCCATGATAATACTAGGATATAATGAAGCAAAATCTAGACCAGTTACTGGCCTTTCCTTCTCGATACCTTTTTTAGGCGGAAAAACGTATGCGTCAGGAAATTTCCCTTTTTCTATATTTTTACATACTCTCGTGCTAAAAACTATATCTTGTTTAACGGCATAAGCGTCTAGAAGGTTTCATACTTTCATTCTATTTGCGCAATAGTGTGCATTGAAGAGGGATACATAAGCTATAGAAGCAACTTCTCTATAATCATTAATTACACTTAGTTTTACCAATAGCTCCTGACAACGCAGTGCGTCTATAATGCAATAGTTAACTACTTCACACATTTTTCTTGCAGTTGAAGGAGAAGGATCCTTTTTCGCCTCTGAATAGATTCTTCACATTTCATTATATGGCATGTCAGCTTTATCATCAAGACTACATTTTTTTAAGAAGAATTTTAACGAACCTTTCTTTTCGACTTCAGAAGAGGGATAACATTTTTTGAGACACACTCGAATATCGATTGGTACACATCCTGGCAATTTAAAAAAACTGGAAAAGAAATCATCATTCGGGTCTGCAGTAATTTTGACCCTAATTGACCCCCAAACATTCCTTTTCCTCTGGATCATCTTCCCCTTCCTCGGGAGACTTAACAGGATACTTTTTTACAAAAGCATTTTCAGATTTTGCTCCTATCTTACCATGATATTTCCACTTTATAATTTCTTCTTTTGTTTCAAACTTTCCTGTTATTCGCTCCCACATCCATTCGAGTATGTTGAGATGATAGGCTCTCTCCATAATAAAACGTCAATCATAATCAGAATCATTAAACCCAACTAGGATGTCAGAGGCAAATGCTCGCCAGCAGATGGCCAACACTTTCAGTAGATTTTCTTGGTTTCCACATATGATCGTGATACATCGTGGATCTGGTTCTGTCTCAACGTCGATAAGACATATTTGCTTTAGTGGTTTTGGATCATCTTTCCAATGCAGTGTCATGCCAATCGTAAAAACATTATTATTCAGATCAAGGACTTCAGCAAATTCACCCAGCTCTCGTGATTGCGTCTCTATATCCTACGTGAGAATAAGAGAACAATCCCATAAGAGAGCTGAAATAGGAAATCCTCTAGCGGACAGAAATCTTTTATAGATACATAGAATTCATGTGAACAGAGCGGGCTGGTCCGCTTGCCTTTCTTTCATGTATATTTGTTTATTGTAAACCACCCAGAAAGTTGGATTCCATTTTCTCGAGCTACTTTACAATGAAATGACCACATGTCATCTGATGCAGTTTCGAAATTATTTTCTTGGATAGTTTAGATGGCTTTTTTTCTCTCTCCAGTACCATTCGTATAAATTCGTAAATATGACTTTTTTTCTGTATGATAACCCCAAAAAGGGAAAGCTTTAATGTGCTCCATTTTAAATGACTTCACAGTGCCAGAGAGAATTTCGCTCACTTTTTCTTCACATTTATCTGGAGTCTTTCCGTTTGGTATGAGAATGTCAAAGAAAACCTGAATGCCTGTAAGGGTTACTAGTGCCTTTTGTCCATTAATAAGACAACCATAAAGACGCAATACATAGCGGTACATTCCATTTATCTTTTCAGTTGATCCTTCATTCTCAATAGCCATGAATGGAATATTTTGTCGTTTAGATAAAGCATTTTCGAGTATTGGTGTTAATCCCTCATCATTTCTCGCAACTATATCATCTAGTGTTAAAAAGCCTAATAAGTATTTTTCACCGGAATAGTGAATTACTTGGGCTTCCATTTTATCTTTTTCAGCCTCTGGGTGAAAAAGTGGGCGGGGGCGTTGAGGAACTCTGAAAGCTCATATAATATATCACAAATATACAGTTCAAGAGAAAGTATATATTCCGGGAGAAAAAAGTTTAAAATGAAAATTAATTCCGAAATATATAAACTAATACATAAACCAACCATTCATAATTATTAAAAATGGTATTTTATCGATTTACCTATATTCACAGGAGTGGTAAGATTTGCAATCGGGGATGCTACCATCTGAAAGGATGTCATATTCATCGTAATTCTCCTTCTCAGGTACCTTGCAATGAATATGGATGTAATAAATTAACTTATGGCGGATATGGATTTTGCGATATTCATGCTAGAAAGTACCGTAAAAGAGAACAATACCATCAAAAAAAGCTGGCCGATTTGGCTTCAATGCAGAAAGTGGTAGGTAAATAGATGAAAATAGAAGCGATGCAAAATAATACAACTTGACAATAGTGTTACTGGAAAAAAAACTGGTGACAGAAGCCAGTGACGTAGACAATAGGCTCTTTAGGAATTCTAAGCTGAAAGAAAGTCTTCTTGATGAGTGTCACCGGTATCAATAGCGTCACTAGAAAAAATCGAGTTTCTTAACTTTTTTTTTTACCTATAGGTATACATATATACCATATACATATATAAACTATACATATATATCATATATATATCATATATATATATCATAGGAAAATTACTTTTTTTTTTTAGAATTTATTACTCTTTTACTAGTGACTCTAGTGACAGTAATCAAGAAAGAAATGAAATATCCTAATAATCTCAAAGAGCATAACAAAGGTGTCACCAGTTCTGTCACCAGTTAGTATATGGAACTATTGACACTGGTGATGGCCCGCAAAAATTTAGCATATATATCTTTTAACAATATAGCAGAAAATCATGCCTTACATTGATAATAATCTAATATTGAAAATACGTAAAAAATGATTATTCTGAAGCGTTTGGAATCTATAATGGAATCTGAAAACTATCTATTAAAACGCCAGATCTCTGATATGCAATTTGAGCTTACATTGACTCGCAAGGTTTTAAATATGCAATTAGAAATAGATTCATTAAAAGAACAAGTTAATGAGCTTAAAAATGAAAATACTAGACTTAAAAATGTGACTAGCTATCAGGAGATTGAAAAGCAGAATGAAATAGTAAGTTCTAGCAAAGTGTCTTATTCTAATACTGATCAATTCATAATAGATTATATTTCAACATGGCCTGAAGACATTCTTTGCAAACAAATATGTTGCGCTACTTTATATCAGGATTATCTTGCTTGGTGTGAAAAAAATAATGAGCAAGCATTAAGTAATAATTATCTTGGTAAAAAATTTTCACAAATGGATATTGACCATAAACAGGTATGAGTAAGTGGTGGCAATAGAGAATGGCAGTATAAACTAAACTGATCTAAAATCATGAGTAAGATACATGGTATAACTGATAGCTACTGAGATACTCAAATTGCAAT